TCCGAACCATACATATGACCATCAGTATGACCCCGGAGACGATGATCGTGCCACAGACGATACACGCGATGATTAACACGTGCAGATGCCATTTGTCGTCATCAGTGTTGGAATATTTTGATTGGATAACTATATATAGAGTTCGGACATCCCACAATTGGGGAACCCCTTGGTCGGTGACGTTAATGTCCAGGAAATAGATCCCTGCTTCGGAAGTGCCCAAATCTGTATTAGCGAAAACTTGTCCATCGAAAAGACCAATTCTAAAGAGGCGTGAAGCGTTGCTAGCAGCTAAGGTGTAGGTGATGAAAGCGTTTTGGTTACCGTCAGAATCGTTCACGTCCACGCGAAGGATTGCAGAGTCCTGGTCAACTGGGGTGCTGATGTAGGAAGTAAAGTTTTGGTCACTGGGAAAAACGAAAGTCGGTCGATTGTCATTGACGTCCAAAATTTGGACAGTTATGGTAGCTGATGAGGATAATTTCTGTCTGCCCTGGTCAGTTGCGATGACGTAGAAGTGGTAAGTGTCTGTCTCTTCTCTGTCCAGCTTGCCCCGACTGGAGAGGACGCCATCCGAGGTGACAACAAACGGGACATTGTCAATGTCAGTCATAGACTTGAGAGTCAGGACAACTACCCCTCCACTTTCCAGATCTGGATCAAAGACAGTGATATTTCCTACAATACTTCCAGGGTTGTTGTTCTCATAGATCTGAAACTTGTAGCTGTCCTGTGAGAAACCCGGAGCAACATCATTGACGTCAGAAATGACTACAGTAACTGACGCAGTCCCTGTGAGGCTCGGACTCCCACGATCCACAGCTAGAACCTGGAATGTGTACTTCGCCACCTGCTCGCGGTCAAACCTCCTGCTCGCTTTGATAACCCCAGATTCTGAAATAATTCTAAAGTTGCCTTCATCACCTCGGAGCATGTACTCAACTGCACCGTTCTGGCCATCATCCATGTCCGAAGCACTTACCACCAACACCGTACTGTCGATTAAGTTGTTTTCAGGAATCGCTTGTGTATATGACGACTCCAAAAATACCGGACTGTTGTCGTTGATATCAAACACATTGACAATGAAGCTAGTGGTAGAGTTCAAACTCGGATTTCCTTCGTCTTTGCAAACGATTTCAACAGTCAATGAATTGTTAGTTTCTCTGTCTAAAGTTTTTGCCAGCATCAATTTGTACCGTTTCGTTTCGAGCAGCTGTAACTGGAAGAAGGAGTCCAAACTTTGACAAGAGACACTACCATTCTTCCCCGTGTCGTTGTCTTCCACGCTGATCACTGCCACCACAGTACTCTCCCGAGAGCCTTCAGAAACCCAGCCAATCGGAAGCGCCCCAATTTGAACTGGATTCAACCTTACAATTGGTTGATTATTTATAGTATCAAGAACGGTTACCTTGACAACGGCTTGGTCAGAGCGAGGGGGGTTTCCCAAATCGCGAGCGTCTATAACGAATCTATACTCCCCGCTGGTTATTCTCTGCTGCAAAGACAACTCACCGGTTGCTCTGTCAACATGGATCTTATCAGTAATTTCTGAGTTTCCTGAAAGAACAGAATTCAGTTCATAAACGATCTTTCCATTGTCGCCTACGTCATTATCGGTGGCCTCAACGGTAATTATCTTGTACCCTTGTTCCTTTTCCTCGCCAAAACTGGCGGAATATACTTTATTAGAAAACGTTGGGTCGTTATCATTGACGTCATCAACTACAACATTTACTGTCAGACTTCCACTTCTGGGTGGATCCCCTCCATCTTTGGCCACAACCAGAAGTTTGTACCTTTCCTGTACTTCCCGATCCAGCTTTTGTTTAACCAGAAGGTTCACATGGGATGTTCCAACGAAGTTCCGAGTCATCACCACAAGAAATGTGTCACTTGGAGGCTCCAGTGTGTAGGACAAGACCCCGAATTTCTCGCTGGTGTCTGCGTCAGTTGCAGACGCGATGACATGAGTGAAGTTGAATGACGCTGCCTCGCTGATGTGGATGTCAACTTCCCCGGGTGGTGGGAAAGTTGGACTGTTATCGTTAACATCTAGGATATTAACGGTTGCGGGGACAGTGATGAAAAAGTTATCCCGGCCGCTGACGGCGACACGAAATCTAACCTCACAAGAGTTTGAAAGTGGACAAATGGATTCACGGTCAACTCTCTTTGCCAAGGACAAATTGCCAGAAACTGAGTCTATAGTGAACAAACTACTGTACCCACTAGAGTCTGGCAGCATGCTATATCTAAGACTCGATCTATCACCCTCGCCAACTGTGCTGAGAGTGTTAACATACTCGGCCACGCTGCCCACAAAATGTCCAATTCTCCCCTCCTCCTGTTGGGAAAAGACTAAACTACTGTTCTGACAAGAACAACCTTTCATCAGCGATAAACTAATATATACAAGCACAAATGAAGAAGATAACATATGTCCTATCATACAAAGTGGCCGAACTGATCCCAAGCATTCTGAAAATATGGCCATGCTCTCAGCCGTGTATATTTCTGCAGCAGACACTCAATCCAAAACACCTTCTAGGAATCTCTGTGTACATTAACCAGCGTTTGACAGTTGAATAGCGGCAGTAAAGCTTTTCTGTCAAATAACAACGTTTGCTTTCCCACAGATAGTTGCAGTCATTATCTCTTACTGTATTTATCGATTACTTTGACATTCTTGAGCGTCTGAACATTCGCGAGGTCTTTGTGCTTGGCACACCCAGTCTGGAAAAAAAAAGAGAAAAATATTTAAAATGTTGTTATGTGTGTAGTACTTGTCAGTTCATTGTGTTGTCACGTTCCATCACCCCAAGTCCCCATGTGGTTTCCAGGTTTTCAATTTTAGTGGTAATTGGGGAGGGGGGACTTTTAGATATATTCGTGAGTGTGTGTGTGTGTGTGTGTGTGTGTGTGGGGCGGGGATAATCTGGCACCCACCCACGCAATGTTTTCTTTATGTACTTTCATCCGTGTAAAACCCCACATTAGCCCCCTCACACCGCAAAACTAAATTGACTTTCCTTTTTAGCACGGAACCAAATCCTCATTTGCAACAGTGACGCCAAACCAGGCCTTTCAGTCACGTGGCAACATCAAGTGGGACAGAGACGACCCGAGTCTTAACGGAAAGATTACATAATGATCGTAAGTGGTTGCCCTTGTTTGGGCTGCTTATGTGGGATTTTTGCTTGTTTGTGCTGCCTGTGTGGGATTTTTGCTTGTTTGTGCTGCCTGTGTGGAATTTTTGCTTGTTTGGGCTGCTTATCTGAGATCTTGCTTGTTTAGGGGCTGCTTATCTGAGATCTTGCTTGTTTAGGGGCTGCTTATCTGGGATTTTGCTTGTTTAGGGGCTGCTTATCTGAGATCTTGCTTGTTTAGGGGCTGCTTATCTGAGATCTTGCTTGTTTAGGGGCTGCTTATCTGAGATCTTGCTTGTTTAGGGGCTGCTTATTTGGGATTTTGTTTGTTTAGGCGCTGCTCATGTGGGATTTTTTCTTGTTTGGGCTGCCTATGTGGGATTTTGGCTTGCGTGGGTATTTCGGTGGTGTTGATTTCGAGATTCCCATGTCGTCCGTAACCGCACAAGACTTCAGGTTGCACCTGTTTGGTGTAGTCGTTTCGGGTTCCCAGTTATAACTGATCTGGAGGTTGAACAGGCTATCTAGAATCTACTTTGTTGGCCTGTCGTCCGGGTTGAGAGTTTTAGTCTCAGGATGGTAACCTAGACCTTTCCGTAGCATCCTGGAACGCCAAATTGTTCGATTGTTTACCCTTACATGGGCGGTTGGCACGTTACGTTGTGGTTTACAGCCAGGCTGTCATATCTTTACCTATGGGTCTAAATGAACCGGTAATGTACGTACCCTTATTCTTAGTTCTTTATTGGTGAGTCTGTTCTTCTTGTTCAGTCCGTATTTCTTATACATCTCATCTCCCGTGTTGTAATTTTGTATTTATGTTTTGGCTTGTAGATAGGTCGTGGATATTCAACACTTGAACATGATAACAGGCAGTAAGGAAGGTGGGGTGGTAGCAAGCAAACAGATAGTTAAAGTAAATAAACTTTGGTCAAATTATGTTGGGCTGGTTTTTATGACATGTGTGCTTTCTTCCAAGTCGGAGTGCACCTGCCTCGGATGCAAAGAACCAACAGTCTGCATACAAATAAGTCAGATATGTAAATTGGATATGCACTCAAAACTCAAGTTCCGGAACAAGCTTAAAGTCCAGTAGAGTTTACAGCCGGTGAACGCGAGGACGTAGAAGGATGACGAGTAATTAGCGACTATGATTACCCTGGTCCAAGAAATAATACAGCCTGAAGTGCCGCGCATGAGCATAACATACTTAAAGTAGATGATGGTCTAACTCCGAACACTGAGCTAAAAATCTGGAGGTCAGCTTGAACTTGACAACATAACTCAATTGTTATTTCTTGGTATGTTTATTTTAAAACTCTTCCAGATAGTCTCCCTTTGTTTGGTAACCACGACAACCGCTGGTTGCCTGGCAACTCAATTATGGATGACTTTTGGAAGTGAAGAGAGACAGACAAAAATCGTTAACAGTCATCTCTCTGACTAAAGAGCACCTGACTGGCTCGTCTGCTCGATACCAGGTGTCTTGAGAATCTAGGCCGTTACTTCCGTCTTCGCCTAACCGTCTTCATTCTTGTATTATTATCATTATCTGCTAAAATGCGGTAGGAATGGGAAAATGTATGCGCAGAGTAAAACCAGAAGGGCAGAATGTAAGATAGGCGTGTGTTTGTAGCTCCTAATCCTGTAAAAATAACATTCTTTTATTCCTTTATTTGTCGGTGTTTCTACTCAGAGTGCGCGGCTGTAAACTCTGTCGCAAAGTTCTGATTGCTCATTCACTTCTGGTCTTTTGTTAAAACTGAGATTTGCGTTTACATCCGTTTTACAGGTCTGATTTTTAGTTGGTGTGCAGACTGTTGATTTCTAAACTTTCAGCCAGATTCACTCTGACATCAAAGAAAACGTCCCTAATTAGTCGACTCTTACCACATGCTAGTAAGGCAAGGGGCAGTAGCTCTACCCCCCCCCCTCCCTCTTTCCACAATAATAGGGCCCCGAAACCCACAAGGGGAGCTGGTATTTCAATACTTTGTGTTTTAGTGTGGCCCATTTTCACTCTCTAACGCTTGAAGGGTGCTAAGTAAACTGTGCCGGACTTTTATAGACGAAGTGGCACTCTGTGGAGACCAGAGAATTGACACTCTGGAGATCAGAGAACTGACATTCTGTGGAGACTAGAGATCTGACACTATGTTTAGACCAGAGAATTGACACTCTGTGGAGACCAGAGAATTGACAGGCTGTGGAGACCAGAGAAATGACACCCTGTAGGGACAAGAGAATTGACACCTTGGGGACAAGACTTACTATCAGGCTTCCGAGAACCCACTGCAGACATGGTTATGTTTCTTATGTGATTATCCCACTTTTTTTTCAAAGTGGTGTTCGTAGGTCTGCTTGAAAATGATCTCTCCATCGTCTTCTTGGTCTGCCTCATGATCCACGACCATTCAGCTCTTTTATATTATTTGCCTCTCTGTCATCTGACATTCTCTGAGCATGCCTAGCCATGTCAAATCTAGTGGCCCTCATGATGCCAGTGATCAATGGTGATTAACGCCGATTTTGAATTTCATTGTTGCTTTTCCTTCTCCATTCCCAGTCTGACTATTTTAATTAGAAAATTCACATAATACAAGGAGTGAAATAACTATAGTCCGGCAATGGAAGGGTTAAGAGTGTGACGTGGAGAAATGTCATCAATGCCTGAGTCGAATAGATTTCAAAAACCAATATCATAGCACTTAAAACGTTCCCACACTCACCCAGCTACCATCTTCAGCAGCCAGTAAAGATTTCTAACTTCGATAGTGCTAGTAGCAGTCTGACTGTATGTCCGCCTTGCCGTTCCTCTGAGTGTGCAGTGCCAGGAAGATCCACTGATCACTCCAAGTTGCACCATTGTCTTCAGACGGTGTTGACCTAATTGTGCCTCCGCACTGTGCGCCGTGCTCGCAGTTGACATGCGCTAGCTTTCCACCGAGTCATGCAAAACCAGACAATCTGTCTGCCTGTTCGTTCCCCAAAACATTTGCACATCCTGGAGAAAATATCCAAAAGGAGTCCCTCTACCATAGACTACTGAAGCGATGCTTGCCACTCTGCACAGAGCTTACCTATCTCCACATTCCTCAGCATGCTTTGTCAGTCAGTTATTACCCCGACATGTGTGTACAGTTGGCTCTCACGCCAGCGGAAGGCTGCAGCACTATTCTCAAAGTATATAGTTGTGATTTCATGTGCTAAGTGTCGCCCTGTCGCTTTTGCAATCTCACTCACTCACTTACTCACTCACTCACTAACTCACTCACTCACTCACTCACTCACTCACTCACTCACTCACTCACTCACTCACTCACTCACTCACTCACTCACTCACTCACTCACTCACTCACTCTTTTATATACTTTTATTAGTTGTTGGGATAGATATATATCATTTTAAAAAAATGGCTGAGAACATCGAGGACAAAGATCTGCCAAGAGACGTAAACGCCAATGCCACACTGCAAGGAACATAGTGATAATGAAATACACTGTATAAGTAACTTCTGTGTAAGCCAGATTTCTTAGGTACATTGTGACTAAACGGAAAACGTTAGGCAACACATAATGTGTTTAATAGTCTGAAATCACGTACAGACGAGCCACTGACTTGTCACGTGTTGAGCTGGCCAGCCATAGTTACAGTCAAAGGTCAGTTCGAGAGAAACCACTTCAGTGCACCGGATTTTATCCTATATGCTCGACATTTCTCCGCAAAACGTCAAGGTGCCTACGGAGAGATTTGCACAAAGCACAAACTCCATAGCTCCAGTGACGATCCCACTGGTTCTTTGAAAATTGCTCCTGGAACCGAACGACGCGTCTTTGAAACACACGATTAATGAAATCATTAACTACCAATGTCCTCTTTTCTAGACAAACTGTAAAAAAAAAAAAAAAAACCGCTTTCTGAGATAATTAATTTTTTTTTTTTTAAATTTCCCTCCACCGGAATTTGATGTCTGAAAGATTGCCAAAAAAGTGACTAACAAGTGATTTTTTTGCTAGCAGCCATGTCAGAGCAAATTCCAGAAACCTTGTTTAACCGTATAACATAACAGGTTTATAACCTGGCAGACGACAGTTGATTTGCTCCAATGCCACTGAAACCTAAGTTACGTATTTCTCCTTCTTGGCGATCACAGGCTGTAAACCCCTGGCGGAAAGTACTTGTTGTTCATCCATTTCTGGATTTTGGTCTTGTTCCATAAGATTTTGCGAGCACATCGGTTTTACAGATTTGGCTTATTTGTGTGCAGAATGTTAGTCCTCAGGGAGATGCACTCCGACATCAAATTAAATGAACCAGATTTGTCACCTTCTATGACAAGTTTGTCAGG